GGGGGGGGGGGGGGGGGGGGGGGGGGGCGGACGCATGCTGAGGTCCAGCCTCAGCCAGGCCCACTCAGTCTTCTTCAGGGCGGTGGGGGCAAGGCCGAGGGTCGCCACGCACTGTTTACACTCTCGTGCCCAGGCCCGTCCAGTGCCCAAGCCGCTCGGGGGGGTAAGGGAAGCGACAGGAATGAATGGCCGGGCCTCCCCTCAGGCCTCCGGAACAAAGGCTGCGGGGCTCGGGCCGCGCTCACCTCGTCGCCCCACTTGAGCACGTCCTTGTGGCGGTCCTTGACCGCGTGGTAGATGTGCAGGAACTGGAGGATGCCGTGGCGCCGCACGTGGTCGGCGTGGCGCTGCGTGTCGGCCCAGCTCAGCGGCGAGCCCTGGGACAGCAGCCCCATGGCGCGCGGGGACGGAGGGCCTCGCCGACACGACCCAGCAGCAGCCCAAGCCGGGCGGCACCGCTCCGCGGCCCTCGGGTTCGCGCACCGGCTCCTACTCGCGTCCCGTGCCTGCACCGCTCTGGAGCATGCTCAGTGCGCACCGCCGCGCCCCGCGCTTCACCGCAGCACTTTATAGGCTGCGGCGGGGGCGGTGGGGCGGGGCCAGAGTGCGGAGGGGCGGGGCCACGGCGTGGGCTGTGCGGACAGGGGTGGCGGGCCTGAGCTAGAAAACCAAAAAGGAGACAGCTTAAACTAGACAACCAAAAAGGCGGTGCAACACCAACATGGGCGGGCGAGGGAAGAAATTTAATAAGTAGAATTAATGAACACCCACCCCCATCCCAGATTGTATTTGAGGTGGAAAGGGCTCATGCTTACAAAAACGGTGAGAGGCAGAATGTGTCATGAAAACAAAAAAGTATCAACTTGGGAGTCAGCTGAAATGCCTGTTCAACTCTAGGCCCCTCCACTTACTAACTGCAAGACAACGTTAGATGAACACCTTTTGTGCATATGTCTTGGACCCGTGTGGTGTGGCTGTGCATAGAGTCTGATGGTCAATAAACAGATTTGGTTATTAAAATTAATCAATGGGTCTACAAGGTTTTAGACATGTGTCTGTAAATTCTCCAAGTCAACTATTTGGTGACATAGTCTCTTGTTGGCACAGCATCATTCATTGGGTGTAAAGGGGGTTTTGTGAATGTCTCCAAGTGGGGAGTGTGAAGGAGTGGTCTCCAAAGTTTATCCAAACCTAAGATTCATCTAGGAAGTGATCAGAATAATGCTTGGGAAAACTCTATCATGAGAACTGCTGTTGATCTATCTTGATGGGAACAGGAAGGATGCGGGCACCTAGTCCCTAAGTAATTGTTCATAATAAATGTTTTGCAACGGAATAAATATGTGCTAACTGGATCTTCCATACTGAGGACAAAATGTATTTGCTACACTCCTTCTCATGAACTGTAGAGTTAACTTCTTATTTAGAGACAAGCCCTTGCTATGTAGCCCTGGCTGGCCTTGAACAATCTTCTTGCCTCAGCCTCCTGAATGATGAAGTTACAGGTGTGAACTTCAAGGCCTGTCTTAGACTTAGTATTTAATAAACACTTATTAATGAATATTTTATAGGGAGGAATCCTTTCTTACTGCCTTCACATTGAGTATGCCCATCAAGAGGTTGGGGCCATAGATACTGAAAGTATGGCTGGGATTCCCACAGTGGAAGATAGGCAGGTGAGCAAGTGTGTAGGTTAGGTAATAATTGAAGCTGAGGGGTCAGATGATGACTCCTATTCCTAACACACAGGCAGAATAAAAAACACGTTTCATTCTAATTTTTCTCCAGCTCCCTCAACCTCAGCCACTGCCCTCTACCTTACTATACCAATCCCACCAAACTCACCAGACCTGTATATGGTCCTAAGAGTTATGTTCCCTTCTCCCATTTCTTCCTTATTTCCTGTCTGCCTGAAGTTTTCCACCTGACACACCCGTTCTTCCTTTGAGTCCTCGTTACCTCTCAGTATTGTAGTTGAATTTATACATTCCTCTGTTTGTTCATTATGATAGAGGCATTACAAACATCTCCATTCTAGACAGTGGCCTTACATAGGCACATTTTCTTGGGAAGTGCTTGTATACACTGGTTCTTCGTGTTAGCCTCCTATGGAAAGCAGGTATTGGGGAGGGGAGGGAGAAAAAAACTGTTTTACACATAGGTAAAATATCCAAAAGATCATTTATTATTCTCATAATCTCACTTCATATTTTCATTTGATCCAACACAATACCACCAGCCACAGGTGGCTATCAGGCATTTGAAATGAAGCTATCAGTGCTTAAAAACCAAAATTTTAGCCCTATTTGACTTGTTCCAAATGTACATTTCAAAACTGATTTTGCCAAAGTGTGGTGTGTCACAACTTTAATCCCAGCACTTTGGAGGTTGAAGGCAGAAGGACTGTCATAAACAGGAGGCCAGCTTGAGGTGGAGTGAGAGTGAGACCCTGTGTGGGGAAAAACAAAATCAAAACCAAAAACCCCACAAAATTTGATATTTCACTTGGTAGCTAGAATATTTTTATTAAATTTGGAACAAGCTGGGAATGTGAACTCACTTTTAGATTGTAAATTTTATGAAATCTAAATGCAAGTATTCCAATGAAAATTTAGTAGTCTAGGAGATGTGCACACACCAGATTTGAAGGCTTAATACAAAAATATTAATCTCATTAAAATTTTACAATGATTACATGTTGATACCATAGATTTCAGATGTTGAGTTAAATAGAATATTATTTGCATTGATCCATCTGTTTCTTTTCAATTCTTAAAGATAGCTACTGAAAATTTTGTTCAGTCTGTGGCCAGAGCTGGTGTAGACTTTTGTTTACACTTAGCAAAGCACTTTCCCCATACATCTGTTGTTTCCTCACAGCAATGCCCCGAGGCAGTCCCCAAGGATAGTGCCAATTCACTGTCAGCAGGAAAGGTTTTTCATGGTTCAGTAATGGACTCAAGTTCTAACTTTAAGTTAAAGTCTGACAAGAGGCTGAACATATTGGAAATTTACACCGTAATCTGATTTGGTGTGCACTAAACTACGTTTCACACTACTTTAAGGAGTTCTGACCCTACCTACCTCTGAATTCTTTATGAGCACTTTAGGAAATTATGCCAAACTTTAAGCCATGACCTTTGCAGTGCGTCTAGCGATGTTAACAAAGAAATGAAAGAAAAAGAAACCACCATGGATCAATGGATCATGTTCCACTAGCAGGTCTACTGGGCTTCCCTCCGCAGGCGCCAGGCTTTGCACTTTCCTGAGTACATTTTCAGGGCATCCCCAGCGGGGATTGCTAAGGGTAAAGAGAGCTTCCAGCATCCCCATCAGCAGCACCAGCGTCAGCATCGTCAACATCAACATCAGCAGCATTCCCAGCACCACACCAGCACCAGCATCAGCATCTCTAGGCCTGGATGAAAGGCGGATCCGGGGTCATTCAGCACAGAAAGGCACAGCAGGCACACAAGGTGCCCCGGCCAGTAGGCCCAGCGCGCAGGCTCGGCCTGGGAAGACCCGGAAGCCTAGCCGCTGCACGCGACCTCAAAGCTGCCGTCACGTGACCGCGGGCCCCGCCTCCCCGCGCGCAGCCTCACCGTGACTCAGCGTTTCGGGTGGCTTGATGTCTGCCCGGCCCTCCAGGCGGTCCGGGGCAAAATCGGCTAGGTCCCGGAGGGAGCGGTTGCCGCAGCTGCCGTGTAGATACGGGATTCCCAGTGAACGTCTTTTCTAGGTCACCTCGGCTGCGTTTCCAAGTTGGCGGCTCTGCGGGAAGCCTGTGCGCTCCGAGGGTCTGCGTCCCTGCAGCTGCTGCCCCCTCGGCCCGGCCCCGCGCTGCATCTTCCTGCCACACACCTGAGCTTCGGAACGAACCCAGCTCCGGGATTCCTCAGACGCTGCTCTACACGTAGTGGCCCCTCGCCATCCCAGCTGTGCACTCAGCCCGCATTTCTGCTGCACCGTGTACACAGGCTGGGTGAGGCCCATGGCAGGCCTCATTGGGACCCCAGGGCCTGCTGCCACCTGCAGTACCACCTCCTTTGATACCCTGTCTCCAAAGCCCCAGAACGTGCCTTAAGTCTCTTAATTGGTAGGAAAAAAACAAAACAAAACAAAACTTCAGCGTATGTGGAAGAAAAGCACAAAAGATAGGGAAATAATTTTTACCCTATATTTGAATTATACTAAGAATTTGTTCATGCGCAAGAAAGTACCCTGGTTCTGGTGATGGAAGAGGGCAAAAGAACAGGCTTTTCACAGTAGTTCAGAGGATTCCCTTGCTGGGTCTACGTAAGTGATGCTGTGTTTATCAGAAAGGACCTTTCCCTACCTGTTCAAATGAATCTGGACAAGAGATTTCCCTTTGATCCTGAACATTCTTTGACATTAGTTCTAAAGGAGTTAGTACATGCATGTCTATTTGCATTAGTGTAGTATGCCCAGCACATGCTGTTGAGAAACCCTATTATTTTAGTAAAAAATGCCGAGCACTTGAGACTTGTTTGAGACAGGGTCTTATGTGGCTCAGGCTGGACTCACTGCTTAGCTGAGGACGGCCTTGAACTGATCATACTGCATCTACCTCTTTAGTTCTGGTATTACAGGCAATGTGCCACCACATCCAACCTCATTTTTAAAACCATTTTCTTGTCCATATGGATTTTTGAAATACAGAAATATGCTCATTTTCAGGCTGTTACAAAGGTCTTGTTTCAAAGTAGTGGAGTCACCGTTTTTAAGACGGTGGGACCAAGAAAGGATGCTTCTAGAAGCAAGTTCTCTCAGGAGACATGGCTTTGATGGGATCCAGAACCAGAAAAAGTGGCTGGTAGTAAGCCCCCCATCACTGTCCTGTCTCCCTAATGGACAGCTAACCATGTAGCTCTTACGGTTGGAGCTAGAGGAATACAAAGGACAGTTTCTGCAATAGATATGGGGGCTGGGAAGATGGAAAAGAATAAGGTTAATCCCTGAATGGAAATCATTTGCATTAAGCAGGCCATCTGGCAAAAGGCAAGGTCTTTAAGGAAGGTAGGTATTCATCCTCTTAAAAGATTCTTGGTCTCCACGCTTTACCTCACATTTCACCAACCTAAGCTCATAAAACTTCATTCTAGATTAGATGTTACCAAATAATTGAGCCTGGCACACAACAACCTATAATGGATGATAAGATTTTTTTTTTAAAGGGCTAATTATACATGTGTAAAGGTAACATCTCCTCTGTCTCTCTTCTTTCTGTCTCTCTCTGGCTCCCCACTCCTCCTGTATGGATGATGAGATGTAAAAAAGGGCTAGCCATAATTGTATATATGTGTAAAGGCAACCTCTCTTTCTCCCCCACCCCACACCCACCCACCTCACCACCTTCTGAGAAGTGTTTGGCCATGAATATGGGTAAGTTGCTGTATTTGCCTTTGATCTAGACAAAGGGAAATGATTCAATACTTACAAGTATTGAAATGATTCAGTACTTATGATTGGACAGATTTATATGTGTGTGTTTCTCCCCACAAACCAAATAAGGCAAAACTTCCC